TGCCAGGCACCGCAGCCTGTAGTTCACCCGGGAGTGACTGTCCAGTCTGTATATCCACAGCCCGCGCACATCTGGGGGGGCAACCAGAGAACAGCACAGCTCAGCCAGGGTCTTGCCTTGTGCTGAGGGGGATCCCGTGGGAAAACTGTCCCCAGCCATTGACCTCACACGAGGTCTCCAGGCTCCCTCTAGAGCCGATGTGGCCGTGGCAAGCCACAGCAGGACATGGGACACCTGTGCTCTGATCTCGGTGGCCAGCTCTTGCCCAGTGTCTTCACTGGCTATCACCTTGCAGGGACACATGCTGGGGACATGCTCCCGGCACGGAGCACACAGCTCCCTCCATCCCCACCCACCCCAAGGGCTCCCCTGGTGACAATACCGGTGCCGGCGCTGCTGTGCTGGTCAGGTCGGTACTTGACAGCTGGTGGCTTTTGAGTCAGCTCATTATTTTGGGCATAGCCATCACCGCTGTGTGGAGAGAGGAGGTTTGGGGTCACCCTCCCAACACAACCCTCCTCCACTCCCCGTAGAGCAGCTGGGGTGGGAACTGCTGCAGTTTGCAGGATAGAGGGTTTAAACGGGACAGGGTTACTCTGGGGGTGGGAGCTGGGCTCTCTTGGGGATAATGTCTCCGATGGTCCCAACATAGTGCTGGGAGAAATCCCTGCTATCCCAAAACGCAGCCACACAGGTGCACAGCACCTGGAGAAGCCGATCAGCACGTTGCCTGCAGCCAGCTTGGCATAGTCCCACCGCATCCCGCCATCCTGGTAGAGCAGCAGGGCGAAGGAACGGTTCCCATCGGTGGTGAGGACCGCCTGGTAGGTGCTCGTCTGGAGAAACCCAAGGCACCCCCTTAGCACCCCCAAAGCCTCCCCTGCTCTCCCCACAGCGCAGACTGGGGCGGTGAGACCTGAAACGCCCGCATCAAGCCATGGGAGACCAGCAGCTCAGCCCTGTCCTGGCCATCTCTGGTGGCAGTCCCCTCCGTCACCTGGGTCCCCCACTGCTCACCCGAGTGTCATCCTGCTGGGATGGGTACGCTGGAGCCTTTTCCCACGTCACCTTCAAGGTCCATTTTGCTACGTAGGGGGTTTTCAGGTATTTCTCAATCTTTGCTTCCACATCATGGACAAGGGGGTCTTGGGTAGAGGTGAGGGTGGAGTACTCCTGCAGGTTGGCAAGAGAGAGGGTTAAATGGGCGAGCTGGGAGCTGGGCTCTCCCAGGAGAACATCTTTGGTGGCCCCGACCTGGTACCAGGTGGTGCCAACACCCTGGGAGAAATCTGCGTCGTCCCAAAAGGCAGCCACCATCGGCAAATCCTCTTTTCCACTGAAGCCCTGGGGAGGTGGGTTGGGGTTGGAGGGGATGTAGTTGTCCGTGGGTGGGAAAATGATCTGTCCGTTATCTGTAAACTAACCAAAATAACTCGTTATTTGCTGACATCCCAGGCAGCTCCTGGAATGGCTTTTAGCCTCCATGGGCGAGCGGAAACCAGCCATTTTAAATTGCAAAAAAATTAACATTCGGATGAAATTTGGTTTCTGCTCCATTTCCATGAGATTTTTTCTACCAAAGAGGCTGCACATCCCTTATGTGCTTGGCGACGGGGGGACTCACGTAGAGAGCATCCCGCAGCGACTTTCCGAAGGGGAACCCAATCTCTGGCTTGAACAGAGGGGAGTTAAAATCCACTGTCCTCTGGACGCACTCTCGGTCCCCTCCCTCCGTGCCGAAGGGGTAGAGTGAGGCTGCCAGCACTGACATGAGCAGGAGATTAATCGAAAAGGTGAAAAAACATTAATATCTGCTCCATCCTTCTTGTGGCCCGTGCAAGCTCACCTGCCTGCTGCCAGGATGCTGCTGTGCCTGCGCTCCCCCCAGCCGGACCAGCACTCTGACAACTTGTAACCCAATTTTTAACCCAGTTTTTAATTTAGAATAGGATGCTTTCAGATGTCCTATTTCACCTTTCCCCGTGAATTTGGCAGCCCAACATGCAATGCAGACGAGTCACCCCGGGCCGTACACTCAGCCATCACAGTGCTTGGTTGGCTGACAACCCCTTCCTGCTCTTTGCTTTGGGAAGAAGAAAATCTACTTACTGATAAGCCCGTGGGTGGGTCGAGGCTCAGGGGCAGGATTTCTGTGGCTGGCAGTGGTGTGGGCAGATGTGCTTGGTGCTGTGACCGGTCCCCTCTGTGTCCCAAAGGCAGGAGCTGGGGGGGTGGCAGGGCTGGGGGGGGGTGGGGGCACCCCCGGGGACACGGGGCCCGGGGCGGGGGG